CCACCGTGGTCCTCCTGGGAGCCTCGGAAGAGGACAGCATCGGAGTTTGGGAACGAGCCGGTAGATGGCAAGGCAAAGATCTTGAGGGTGAGTCACGGATCTCTCCATCCGACATCGACCCATGAACGACTGGTTTGGGTGGATGTGATATGGTTGGAACCGCAGGTTCAACCCTCTGTGGGGATCCTGGCGGTGTGACTTGCATCAGCTCTCTCGGTGTCGGTGCTGAGGGCATCAGGACCGATGGTACTGTCTGGACCGACAGGGCGGTCGAATCCAAATCTCTCCGTGATTCCGGAGCAGGCCTATGCTTCCTGCTGGCCTTGCTCGACTTATCTTTTTTGGCCTTCTTCGGAATCGACGGATCCCCGTGGTCAGAATGCTTCCACTTCTCCTTTTGTTTGAGCAAGGAATGGGAGAAGTGAGAGGTCTCCTCGGAAGCAACTCCCCCAGATGGTGGGCGAGGGGAGGAAGGGCGCACCCTTGGAAGGGTCGGCCAGCACAGGCTGAGCGGCGAGCTCATCAGAGGCTAGTAAGGCCTGATCCCAAAGGATCTTTCTCAGCCTATTCTTTCGGTTCTTTCTGGCCTGTTTAGTGAAGGCCTGGCAGTGCCCACACTTGTTGGTGCGATGCCCCTCTCACAAGCAGAAGAGGCAGAGCTCGTGTGGGTCCACTGGGGACATTTTAGCCCTGCATTTCGAACACTTTCGAAACACCGCATGCTGAGCCATCGAGAAGGTCAGAAGAAGGATAGTAAAGGTAAGAGAAAAAGAGTGGAAATACTAACTCTCTCTCTCTCTCTCTCTCTCTCTCTCTCTCTCTCTCTCTATATATATATATATATATATATATATATATATAAATAAAAATAAAGGTAAAGAGGAAAGTGTTAACCGGGAAATAAGGAAAAAGAAGTTGGATTCAACGGGTAAGAACGATTCTAGAACAAACAAGTAAGTACGAGAAGACAAGGTAATGGCTCGAGGCAATGCGATCGGCGGTCGAAAGAAGACTGAGGAAAATGGCGGGTGCTCTGCCTTATATAGCACCAAGGGAGAGGGGTGCGGAGCTCCCGCCAAAAACCGTTGCAGCTTGAGTATTCTGGCTGACAACAGGCACTGCGCAGGCACAGTACCCATTATGTATGATGCACAGAGACCACGAAGAAGAACAGCAGGTAAAGGCAGAACAGGATCCCTTTCCAGCAGAGAACTGAGCCCTGGCTGACCCAAACTCAGGTGCAAAAAGTATGCTTTTGGTGAAGACGTCCACCAATGGGTACCCCAGGTTTAGAAGAGAGGTGACAGGACTTTTGGGTGTAGCTCCTATTTGTGGGTCCCATCTGTCTTCCTGCTCAGGGCATCCGCCATGACATTGTGGGTCCCAGCCATGTGAATGGCTACAATGCTAATGCCTCTCCTGAGGCACTAGACCCAGAGCTACTAAGTGAGGTGAGTATAGGATGTGGATTGCATGCTGCCTTGCCTGCTCAGGTAGAACATCCTCATAGTGTTTTCCATGGTCACCAAAACATGCTTGTCTTTGAGGCAGAGGTGAAATATGATCATTGCCTTCCAGTCCACAAGGATCTTTAAATAGTTTATATGCCTCCTCCAGTCTTGATCCATCCAGAGTCCATGGGTTGTGGTGCTGGCACAGTGTGCTCCTCAGCCCATGTGTGACACATCTGTAGTCAGGGTCAGGTCCAGTTCCTTCAATACGAAGGCAACTCCCTTTGCTAGATTGTGTTAGCAGATCCACCCGTTAAGGTTCACCTGAACGGAATATGGGAGCACCAGCTGCTTCCAGACCAAATTGTTCTGGGGCCAGTAGGTGAGCTGTAGTGGCTACATCCATATGGCAAATGGAACAACCATGACCGTCACTGCCATGGGCCTCAAGGGTCGCTGCACCTGCTACACTGTTGTCCTGGGTTTAACCTGGAGCTGTTAAGTGAAGGTGATTAGTGCTGCTGCCCTGCCCAGGTATGCCCATGCCATAGTTGCATTGAGCCTTGCCCTGACAGAGTCAATTGAGGCAAATCCGCCTCCCTTGCCACAACAGTGGCAGAAGATTTGGCATGAGACCATGCAGAACTTCTTATGGGGGATGAATCCATCCAGGTCACATCCAGCAGGTCTAGGATAGGATGGAGGCCACCATCCTTCTTTGGTACTGTACAATACCACGAGTAGATCCATAGTGGAGATTGGATGGAGGGTGGAACAGAGCACTTCCCTCAACAACATAGGAGAGGGGGATGTTGAGTGCATGCAATTGAAACTGGGTCACCGCAGGTTCCACAAGGACCATTACAGGAACCATCACAGGAATCAGTGCAGGAATGGGTGCAGGGGTTGCCAGTAGTGATGGACTGGTGGCTTCCTTTGAACCAGGTCTGCACAGCTGGAGGGGATTGGCAGGCTGCAGTGGTCAGTGGTGTCACCTCTCAGTGTCCAGTTTCCTTCTTGCAACTGCAGGAACTGAGAGGTGGCATCGCTCCAGTGTGGTTGGGTGAGCTGTTGCTGGCTGGATTGAGTAGGGAGCACAGACCACTCATGTGCCCTCTGTGGTTGTGCAGGCACAAAGCCCATTTTCTTGGCAGCAGCCCTGGCTTTTTGGTGGGGGAGGGTGCCCCATTACTTGTCGGTATGGGCACTGAAGAGGGCTTCACCATCGAAAGGCAGCTCCTCAGTTCTGGAACAACCCTCTGAGAGAGGCTTTCTCCACAATGACCATGGGGATGCTGCAGAAGGAATGGGATGCTGCGCTCCTGGACCTGTCACAGGCTCTCCAGCCAGGTGGATGTTGGCTCTGGCTGTGCCAGCACCCTCCACAGATCTTTTCATGCAAAGAATGGAATGACCACCAGGACTGTGTCCTCTGGGTATACAGTCCAAATAATGCTGCCATCCAAAAAACCTGATTGGAAAAACTTCCCAGCTCTTCGGAGGGGAATCCTGGGCCAAAATCATGTCTTTGGATGAGGAAGTGAGCACTTCCTTAAGGAGCAGCAGTGAGTTTGAAGTCAAGACATGGTCATCTTGGTCCAAGGGTGATGACTGCCAGAGCAGAGTAGGCAGTTGGGGCATGGGAACCAGCTGTGGGAATGGGCAGAGGAACTGTGGAAAACAATTCTTAGTTCCTCTGGATGGTAGACCAGGGAGCCCCACTGCAGTGACCATGGGTTGACAGGGCCTCCCTAAGTTCCTTTGGGTGGGAGACTGGGGCTCCCACTGCAGCCAGGGCCCCCTGCTGGTACGTTTCATATCTCTTCCTTGGAATAGGACAGTGTTGCCACCAGCTTGGTCAGGGTGATCACAGGGGCCTGTGAGGGAGCTGAGGAAAAGGAACGCACAGGAACCAGTGCCATAAGCACTGCAGGGACCACAGGAGCTGGCACAGGGGTAGCTACAGGAAGGGGGCAGGAACTGGTATAGGAACTGGTGTAGAAAAACAGCACTGATGCATCCACGTACAGCATCAATGGAGAGTAGCACTGTGTTCCTCCTTGTCCATGTAGTCAGACAAAGGTGAGGGTAGGACAGGTGGGAGAAATGAGCTGTCCACAAAGTGGGCGTGCACTTCCAGCAGCAGTCCTGTGGCTGAGTTAGTGGCCATAAGGGCACAGTTCCACAATCCAACTCTAAGTCAGCCCACTTGGTTCTTCTGGGCCCAGGGTGGTCCACTCCCAGGCAGTAGGAGCATTTGTAGAAGGCAGATGGCTTCCACAGTGAACACATTTTCTGAAGGACGCTTTGAGCACCATCAGGGAGAGAAGAAAGCTAAGACAAAAGGACAGGCCCAAAGAATTAATGAAAGGTTGGAGGTTTTATTTTTAAGGAGATATTATTATTTTGGAAAAGGGATAAGAAGAATAAAGTGAGTGAATGAGGGATAGAGCATGATAGTTCAGGAAGGGGTGATACAAATGTTGGAAATTCTTAGGGAAAAACCTGAGGCATGTGCAATGGAGGTCAGAAAAGAACTGAGGAAAATGGCAGGAGCTCCACTTAGGGACATCAAAGGGGAGGGAGGGGAGGGGCTTCCACTGGAATGAGTTTTAGCTAGGAAAATCTTCCTGACAACAGGCCCCATGAAGGGGCAGAGCTCATATGTATGATGCACAGCGACCACAAAAAAGAACTGTTATTTTGTTTTGCTGCCACTGCCAAATTCACAACAGAGGTGGCAGCAGTGGCTGCTTCCTCCTCCATAATAAAGCTGGTACCATCTAGAAGAGACCATTTCCCAGTTATAGACCACATTTACTCAGTAACACCATTGCACAAAACATGCATTTTTAATATAATACCAGCATGGCATTCTAAAAGCAGTGCCTTGTTACTTGTGTGAAGGACCATATTGTGATGAAGAGCCCCAGCCTCAACCTATGTTTTCATCCACATACTGAACATGCTTCTTGTAAAGAGACCTCACTGCAGAAGGGCTTGCTTATGCATGGGTACTCCAAGCTTTAGCATTCAACTATAGGCCGTTACTGAAATGAAGTTTTGCATAATGAAGTTTTGCGTAATCAAGCAATGCTTAACATAAAAGGGATCTGAAGCTCAGCACACTCCAATCATAATTCACACATTATATAGCCCAGGAGGTTGGTACTGGTGCTTGGAACTAAACTGGAAACCTATACTACAAGTTATCTTTTCTGACAGGCTGTTTCTCACTGGATAAATGAGGCATCAGATATTTTGTATACTGAACAAATATAGCCAAGCTCAAGTTCTGGCCATCAACCTCATTTTGGATATGACAGGGATTAAACAACACAAAACCCAAGAACGTTTGTCTTCTTTGGTCTCCTTAATGATATATTTTCTAACTTAACAGAACATTTTTAGACGAGGCAGTCAAATATGTGGGCACAAACTCAATCCAATGGCCAGAGTTTATGAGTTATCCCTCCCCTCCTTTTTACTACAGTATTACACAAAGTCATTGTGTAACAGTGCTTCTTATGAACAAAGAGATATTCTTACCTTCATCATGATTTTGATGCAACATCACTTCTGGCTGAGCATGGATAGAGTTCCCCGGGTGGAAGAAAGGTGAAAACAGCACATGAGAATTCCTTTGCTTCAAAATATGCTGCAGAAGCTCATACAATACATCACCTGAAAAAGAAAGAGCCACCCCAAGTGAATGAAAAGCTATACAATACTAGAAAAAGCAAAAGCATCATCCTCCAGAGGGGGGTACCTTTTGGTTGGGTCATGCCACTTCAAATGGGGGCTGGGGAGTCACTTGATGGAATGGCTTTTCACACAAATAAGGACATAACTTACTGTGTATTCTGGTTTTTCAGGATTCATGGAGGGCATCCCAATACTTCAGGAGTAGGAGGCCTTTTGAACGGAGGTAACATTCACCAACTTTTGCTTATTCCAGAAGAGAAGGAGCCTACAAGCATGCCGGACTGGGCTGTATTGGAATATTGGAATATTGAAATATTGAGCTCCTCATCTCATTAGGTTTTCATCTCATGTGGTCTTTTAGGCAATAGAAAGAGAAACTAAGAAGGATGGGATCAGGTAGTAGAGTACAGAAGTAGATAGGTGGGAATATCTCCTAGGGTTTCAGTCTCCAACCTTCTGAGGTCAGTGGACTCATTTGGACTCTATGTTTTAGAATACTGTAGGTGCTTTCACAAAGTGGCTGCCATGGAAGTAGTAGCTTGCCGATTTATAAAATGGCCGCCATAGAAGGGTGGCTGATCACAAAACATACATTCCCAGAAGTCAAACAGGCAGAACTAAGCAAAAAGCCTCTCCCCCAAGAACCTAAGTACAAGGTAGAGATAGGGTCTAAAACACAAAACCCACTTTGTTGAACCTAACCAAAGATGGTGCTAGAGGATGGCACTTTGCTTTTCAGGCTGCAGATGAAAACAAAACCATTTTAAGAAAAAAGAATCAGGAGAGGCAGAGGAAACTGGCAGGCACCACAGCAGGGACCCCAGCTCTAAGGCGCTTTACTTGCCTCCCCATAAACACAGCTGTGCAGGAAAGAGAGGTTGCTTACCTGTAACTGTCATTCTTTGAGTGGTCACCTGTGCATTCACACATTATAGGTGCTGCGCCTGCACAATGCCTGCAACTGGGAAAGATTCAAAGCTTCAATGATTTTGGGAGGAACTCCATGCCCCTCCCCCATAGCATAAAGGGCAGAGTGCCAGCCACTTCCCCAGTCTACTGAAGACCATCTGTTCGCTCCCAGGTGGAATTGGTGAAAATGAATTCACAGTAAATGATAGATCAGATAGGGATGCTCAAGTAAGGAGCATATGATATAAAATATATACCTATATTAAATAGGTAGAAACAATGTGGAAGGACAAGGAAAGTAATTCCCATCAATCCGGTCACTGACACTGGGGCCGGTGGGTAGGTTGTGTGAATGCACAGATGGCCACTCGAAGAACAACAGTTACAGGTAAGCAACCTGTTTTTCTTCATCGTAGTCTCTGTGCATCACACATTATGGGTGATTAGTAAGCTTACCACACTGGAGGTGGGGCGGTGTCATCACTGAAGAACTGAGGAGAGGACTGAATGGCCCTGTCTGGCACGAACATCTAGTTGGTAGTGTTTGGTAAACGTGCAAGGGATAGTCCGGGTAGCCGCTTTGCAGATGTCATGCAATGGAATGCTGGCAGAAAAGGCAGAAGAAGCTGCAACAGCCTTTGTGGAATGACCCTTAGGCATCACAGGTAAGTCCAACTTGGATTGATGACAGGAGAGTTCAAAAGTTTGAACAATCCACTTAGAGAGTCTCCGAGAAGTAATCGGAGAGCCCTTGTTGTGTTCAGAATACTTGACAAAGAGGCGTTTAGTCTTTCTGAAAGATTCAGTCAAGGATTGATAGAATGCTAAACAGCGTCGAACATCGAGTGAATGTAAAGAACGTTCTATCAGTGTTAAGGGGTAGGAAAGAATTCCGTAAGACAATATCCTGATTGATGTGGAAGGACAAAGTGACCTTAGGAAGAAAGGCCGGGTTGGTACGGAGAACCTTTCTTCTTGTGGAAGTTGAGATAAGGAGGGTCAATTCGCAGAGCACAGAGTTCACTAGCCCTTCTGGCTGAAGTAATGGCTATGAGGAAAGCAGTCTTCCAGGATAAAAGACGTAAATCTGTGGTGGCTAGCAGTTCAAATGGAGGCTTGGTAAACGCCTGAATAACCACTGAAAGACTCCATGTTGGTACCACCAACTGGACTGGTGGTTGGAGGTTCTGTAGTCCTTTTAAGAAGCAATGAATGAGAAAATGTAAAAACACTGAGGAGCCCGATATAGAGCTGCGATAATGTGAAATAGCAGCAATGTAAATTTTAAAAGAAGGCTTAAGTCCATTTTGGTGTAGAGATAGGAGAACTTGTAAAATGTTCTCAACTGAGGCTGAATGAGGAGTAAAATAGTTGGTTAACACAAACGAAGTAAAGTGTTTCCATTTAGCTTCATAGGAGTGGCGAGTAGCTGGTCTTAGAGCAGATTGAAGAATAAACTGTATGTCAGGATGGAAAGTGTACAGATTAGATGAAGAACTGGGAACCGATGTCGAAACCTATGGTATGGCCATGACGGAGGGCTGCAGAAGAGGTGTTGAAACCGACAGATTTGTCAGTGTTGATAAGACAGTGTTAGTTATTGAATGAGCCAGGCCATAAGGTTCAGAGAGTGTAGATCTGGACGTTGAATGGTGCCGCTTTGTTAAGTCAGAAGATGTGGAATCCATGGAAGATGAAGGAAAGTGCTCTTGCAGAGGCAGAGAATGGTGGGAAACCATGGTTGCCGGGGCCACGAAGGTGTGATGAGAATCTCTGGGGCATCATCTTGACTGATCTTGGCTAGAATCTTTGCGATTAGAGGTACTGGAGGAAACTCATAAAAGAACTCATTCGTCCAGGGAACCATCAGTGTGTCTCTGACTGAGTTCGGACCGATGCCCACCTGGGAGCAATAAGTTGTGCAGACTGAGTTGCTGTGGGTGGCAAAGAGATCTATGTCTGGCAGGCCCCAAAGCTGGAAGAGATGCTGGCAGACCTGGCGATCCAGCTCCCACTCATGAGTTGTTGACATGTGTCTGCTGAGAGAGTCCGCTTTCTCGTTGTCAGTTCCGGCAAGGTGAACTATGAGAGGGGTGATACCTCTTGGAATACACCAGTCCCATAGATGGCGGGCAAGGTAAGCCAGCAGAGCAGACTTCGTGCCACCCTGCTTGTTGATGTAGAACACTGTAACTACATTGTCCGAAGTTATCTGAATGACTCGGTCCCGAAGGATATTCTCGAAGAACTGAAGGGCTTTGAAAACCGCCAGAAGTTCCAAACAACTGATAGGTCTCTGGAGGTCTTGTGCCCTTGCCAAGCACCCTGAGTGCAGAAGTCAGCACAGTGTACTCCCCATTCCGTAAGGGAAGCATTGATATAGAGTGTCAGGGCTCGTTGGGGCTGTTGAAACAGGACCCCAACAGAGAGGTTGTCCTCCACTGTCCACCATGACAAAGTCCGAAGAATGGAGGTAGGCGGTTGAAGCAGGCGATAAGGTGAGTCATGCTGTGAGTGGAAGAGACGGTTGAACCATAGCTGTAATGGTCTCATCCGTAATCTGGCATTGGAAAGCATGGAGACCGTGGAGGCCATGTGGCCAAGCAGTTTCTGTACAGACAGCATGGACACAGTCTGATGTGTGGAAATTCGATGGATAGAGGAACATAGCTTGTCCTTTCAAGCCTGTGGAAGGAAGAGTCGGGCATGAAGTGAGTTGAGGCGAGCTCTGATGAAGTTGATGACCTGCGAAGGAGCGAGGAAGGATTTCTCAAAGTTAATAGAGTCCAAGTTTGTCAAGGAGGGTACATGTGGTATCAATGGCTGATAGACCTTCTCTGGAAGAGGAGACGATCAGCCAGTCATCAAGGTAAGGGTAAATGTGAGTGCTTTGTAGCCTCAGGTGGGCGCAAACAGGAGTCATACACTTGGTGAAGACCCTTGGGGTGGTAGTGAGCCCGAAGGGAAGAACATTGTATTTGAAAATATTGGCACCAACCATGAATTGGAGTAGGTACCTATGAGTAGGGTGGATACTGATATAAAACTAAGCATCTTTCAAGTCCAGAGATGTGAACCAATCCTCTTTCCTGAGCAACAGAAGGATGTTTTGGAAGGTGGTCATCTGAAATTTTTTAGTTTTGATGAACTTATTGATGCCATGTTAAGTCCAATATTGGATGTAGACCACTGTCCTGTTTCGGGACCGTAAAATATCTCAAGTAGAAGTGTGGAGCCCCTCAGAGCGGGTGAGTTGCCGAATCACTCCTTTACAAGTAGTTGGGAAACTTCATCTTGAAGGACCGGAGAAGGAGACATATATCGGATCAGTCCCCAAGGGGGCGCAGTGTCAAACTTGATTTTATAGCCATACTCCACGATGGAAAGTACCCACTTATCAGATGTGATGGACTCCCAAATGGGGAGTCGGCTTTGTAGCTGATCCCCAAAAGGAAGAGGGGAGGGTGGGTTGCAGAGGTGAGAAGTTTGCATGTCCCATCAATGCTGGCGTTTGTTGGAGTTGGGGCGGTGACAGGCTTGTTGGTAATGAGGTGCGGCCTGTTTGCAATTATGCTGTTGCTGACGTTGGAATTGTTGACGGCCGGCGTATTGAACATATGGCTGGTATCGGTACTGAGGATGGGACCAAGGCCACTTACGTCATTGTTGGGAGGGAATCTCCATCCGATGAGCGGTGACACGTGCTTTGTAGATGTTTTCAAGCTTGTGATCGGTGCGGGCGTTGAAGAGCCCAGAGCCGTCAAAGGGCATACTTTCGATATGCCTCTTGGTCTTGTCCGGGAAGTTGCAAGATCGCAGCCAAGCATGGTGACGGAGGGCGATGGCACCAACGAGCACCCTCAAATTGCAGTCGACATGATGCCTCGCCGTAGTTAGTTGCTGGATGGCCATCTGCATGGCTTCACGGGTGAATACCTGGACGAGGTCTCTCTGTTGTTCTGGGAGACCCACAGTGATTGATTCCAGCCTCTGCATAAGAAAATACTGATATCTGACCATCGTTACTTCATAATTGGAAATGCAAAGCCCGAGACCAGGGGCAGTGTAGA